ATCACTGTTCTCCTTTCTTAGAAAATATATAATTTAAAAGAATCCATCCTGTGGAGTTTGGAGCTTTACTTTGGCTACCACGCACACTGTCAGTTCAGTTTGTCTACATATCCACGCAAGATTGATCTGTTAGATCAGTTTTTAAATTTCAAGGCTTTGAGTATTCATTTTATTTTAATTTTTTTTTTTGAGACAGAGACTTGCTTTGTTGACCAGGCTAGAGTGAGTGCCATGCCATCAGCCTAGCTCACAGCAATCTCAAACTCCTGGGCTCAAGCAATCCTGCTGCCTCAGCCTCCCAAGTAGCTGGGACTACAGGCATGCACCACCATGCCTGGCTAATTTTTCCTATATATATATTAGTTGGCCAATTAATTTCTTTCTATTTATAGTAGAGACGGGGTCTCGCTCTTGCTCAGGCTGGTTTCGAACTCCTGACCTCGAGCAATCCGCCCGCCTCAGCCTCCCAGAGTGCTAGGATTACAGGCGTGAGCCACCTTGCCCAGCCTGAGTATTCATTTTAAAACCATAAGTCATTTGGTTGTTTTTTTTTTTTTATTTCGGCATGTTATGGGGGTACAGATTTTAAGGTTTCAATAAATGCCCTTCCCCCTCCCCCCACAAGTCTGAGTTTCCAGCATGACCATCCCTCAGATGGTGCGCATATCACTCATTATGTATGTATATACCTGCCCCTCCCTCCCCCCCCAATACCCTATTACTGTAGTACCTATGTGTCCACTTAGGTGCTACTCAGTTAATACCAGTTTGCTGGTGAATATATCTGGTGCTTGTTTTTCCATTCTTGGGATACTTCACTTAGTAATATGGGTTCCAGCTCTAACCAGGAGAATATAATATGTGCTATATCACCATTGTTTCTTAGAGCTGAATAGTACTCCATGGTATACATATACCACATTTTATTAATCCATTCTTGGATTGATGGGCACTTGGGCTGTTTCCACAGCCTTGTGATTATGAATTGTGCTGCTATAAACATTCGAGTGCAGGTGTCTTTTTTGTAGAGTGTCATTGGATCATTTGGGTAGATGCCCAGCAATGGGATTGCTGCATCAAATGGTAGATTCACTTGTATCGCTTTAAGGTATCTCCATATTGTTTTCCACAGAGGTTGAACTAGTTTGCAGTCCCACCAGCAGTGTAGGAGTGTTCCTCTCTCTCCACATCCACGCCAGCATTTGTTATTTGGAGACTTTTTGATAAAGGCCATTCTCACTGGAGTTAAGTGATATCTCATTGTAGTTTTGATTTGCATTTCCCTGATGATTAGAGATGATGAGCATTTTTTCATATGTTTGTTGGCCATTCTTCTGTCTTCTTTAGAAAAGTTTCTGTTCAAGTCCTTTGCCCACTTTTTAATAGGGTTATTTGATTTTTTCTTGCTGATTTTCGTGAGTTCTAAGTATATTCTAGTTATCAGCCCTTTTAAAATGTCTATACTACCCAAACTGATCTACAGATTCAACGCAATACCTATTAAAATCCCATCAGCATTCTTCACAGATATAGAAAAAATAATTTTACGCTTTGTATGGAACCAAAGAAGACCCCGAATATCAAGAGCAATTCTAGGCAACAAAAACAAATTGGGAGGCATTAATATGCCAGATATCAAACTATACTACAAAGCTGTTGTAATTAAAACAATCTGGTATTGGCACAAAAATAGGATTATTGACCAGTGGAACAGATGTGAGAATCCTGATATAAAACCATCTTCATATAGCCATCTAATCTTTGACAAAGCAGACAAAAACATACGCTGGGAAAAAGAATCCCTTTTCAATAAATGGTGCTGGGAAAACTGGGTAGCCACTTGTAGAAGGTTAAAACAGGACCCACACCTTTCACCTCTCACAGAAATCAACTCACGCTCGATAACAGACTTAAATCTCAGGTATGAAACCATTAGAATTCTAGAGGAAAATGTTGGAAACACTCTCCTAGACATCGGCCTAGGCAAAGAGTTTATGAAGAAATCCCCAAAGGCAATCAAAGCAGCAATAAAAATAAATAAATGGGACATGATGAAACTACAAAGCTTCTGCACAGCCAAAGAAACAGTCATGAAAGTAAACATTTGGTTTTAAACTATATCAGAAATTACTGAACTATCCCTAAAACCAAAATATGGGGAAATGGCCAGGTTTTTAGGTTCAGCATTTGATGTTTTATGATGTCTCACATGTTTGCTGATAGAAGATCATAATTTTTGACTGAAAGAGAAATAATTTGCTCATGGAATGAAGCTAAGGACAGAGGTAACCAGAGCAGCATTTCCCAAGGTATGCTCCATGGGACATTAATGCCAAGAAAGTCAGCAAATATTAATGTAAAAAAGGGGGGAGGAGAAATTTAAAAAACCAGGACCCAAAATAATTACTAGGTTCCATAAGTGAAAATATCAGTGCTTCAACAGGCAGACATCAATTAGAATGTCTTTTTCGGCCAGGCTCAGTGGCTCACACCTATATTCCCAGCACTCTGGGAGGCGGAGGCAGGAGGATTGCTTGAGCTCAGGAGTTAGAGACCAGCCTGAGCAAAAGCGAGACCCTGTCTCTACCAAAAATAGAAAGAAATTAGACAAAACGATTAAAAATAGAAAAAATTAGCCAGGCACAGTGGCATGTGCCTGTAGTCCCAGCTACTCGGGAGGCTGAAGCAGGAGGATCCCTTGAGCCCAGGAATTTGAGGTGGTTGTGAGCTAGGCTGATGCCATGGCACTCTAGCCTGGACAACACAGTGAGACTTTGTCTCAAAAAAAAAAAAAAAAAAAATTGTCTTTTTCAACATAGTCTTCTTATTTTTCCCTCAAGGTAACATTAAATAATTTCTACCTGCACTGATTTATCAGCCATCTGCTCCTGGTGATCTTGCTCCTAGAATTTTGTCAAAGTTCCAAGAAGCATTGGAGATTGACCCTGCCCTTTCCATAAGAATGACCTAGTTACTGTTCCTTGCTCCCCAGGTGACCTGCCTTCTCTTTTAATTTGAAAGATTGATAGTGAAGACACCCAATTACAACTTTTTCCTTCTCATTTAGAGCACTGAAAGGTAGGTGTCCTCTCTTTTCTACTAAAAATATTATAAAGTGATAAGCTAATACAATATTTTCCCAGTGACAGCCTAGATCTCTAAGTGGCAGTTTATGATATCCACATATTCATAGGCATGTGGCCACAATTTCAGCCTGCTATTCAACACATATAAAATTAACAGGCTTCCTCCGTGAATGTTCATAGAAGCATTATTCATAATAGGCAAAAAGTGGAAACAAACTAAATGCTTGTCCACTGATGCCATAAACAAAATGTGGCATATCCATATATTGGAATATTCTTTTTTTTTTTTTTTGAGACAGAGTCTCACTCTGTTGCCCATGCTAGAGTGCCATGGCGTCAGCCTCGCTAACAGCAACCTCAAACTCCTAGGCTCAAGCGATCCTCCTGCCCCAGCCTCCCAAGTAGCTGGGACTACAGGCATGTGCCACCATGCCCGGCTAATTTTTTCTATATACATTTTTAGCTGGCCAATTAGTTTCTTTCCAGTTTTAGTAGAGACAGGGTCTCGCTCTTGCTCAGGCTGGTTTTGAACTCCTGACCTTGAGCGATCCTCCTGCCTCGGCCTCCCAGAGTGCTAAGATTACAGGCGTGAGCCACCACACCTGGCCTTGGAATATTCTTTGATAATAAAGTGTAATGAAGTATTGATACATGCTACAAACATGGATGAAGCTCAAATATGTTATGCTATGTGAAAGAAACTAGGTACAAAACACCACATATTGTATGATTCTATTTACATGAAATGTCCAGAATAGTTAAATAGAGACAAAAAGTAGGCTTTGATCTAGGGGGAGGGAAAATGGGGAGTGACTACTTATGGACTTCTTTCTGGGATAACAAAAATGATCTGGAATTAGATAGTGGTGATGGTTGCACAACTCTGTAAATACACTAAAAATCATTGAATTATATACACTTTAAATGCATGACTTTTATGGTATGTAAATTATACTTCAATAAAACTGTTTAAAAAGTTAGCAGGTTTCTTTATTACAGATCTTTTCAGAGCTGTTAGTACGTTAATGTAATCTGTGAATCTTCAAGAGGAAAGTAGAGAATGAAGTGCTTTCCAAAATGATTTGCTCATGGACCTAACTTCCTCTATACCATATTTTTCATAAGCATCCCATGGAAATGGTGTTTCTATGTATCCATTTAGAAAAACTCTAACTAGGATATGTAAATAATATTTAAAGGAGTCCTAAACAAGAGGTAGAAGTTGCTAATCTTTTGATAGTATTTAGGGGCAACATTTCAATGGATTTATGTGAGATGGGTCAGGTCTTGTTACTTTAGCCAAAGTTACAGATAAGTAATACTATAGCTAACACATAGATCCTAACAAGCAATATTTCAAGTTAGTAAACTCTCAGACTCAATTTGCTCCTATGGAAAAATTATCCTCAAGTGGAAGAAGAAAAGGAGGAAAGGCAGTTGAGAAAGGTCTCCATCTAATGGGAGAAAGAAAAAAACAAAGAGAGAGAAATGTCTCTTGCTCCAAGCATGCTCAGGAGAGTTGGCCATCAGTCTTGCTAGGATATGTTCTTGAGGAATAAAAGGCAGGTCTGGCTATGAGGAATACCAGATATGATGAACATGTCCAGGCCCTACCTACTGTTCTACTACTAGACCAAGGGAATTGTTTGTGTCTTGTTACTAACCCAGCTAACTGAATACCAGGAATCTTGTTTTCTTTTTCTGTGGAATCCATCTTTCTGAAGCATCAGTCAGCCACTTAATATTTTCTAGAAGTGAAAAACAGTTTAGACAGATGACTATTCCTCCAGAACAACTTCCCACAGTGCTGTGGCCCGTTTGCAGGATGGGGGATGAACACAGAACAAAGAGACACAAAAAGAAAGACACAGACACACACAAAGATGGTACAAGACTGCAGTGCAGAATGCACCAGTTGTTTTATTTATTTATTTTTTTATTCAACACTGACATTTTATTTTCCGAAGTTCATCATTTTTACAAAACAAAACAGAACAAAGAGCAGGTATCAATAACAGCAAAGAGTTTATAGAATTTCTGCACCAGTTTTCACATAAGTCAGTGATTATGAAACTGGTGTCCAATGTAAATACTAAACACAGGCTGATTTCCCTCTTGGTCAGGTGGTTTGTTTTTGGAGCTACTGTATAACAACTTTTTATAAGCACCGGTCATTATTTGAAAACCGATTTGGTTTGTCCAACAAAGTAAACAATTTTTTGCTGTGTGGCATTTTCTTTTTTAAAAAAACACTGAGCTAAAACACAGAATGTGTATTTGTTTGGATCTGAACCAAATCTTTTGAGATCCACATTACCCTGAAGAACACTGAAGACATTTATGGGGCATATTAAATAGTGTATTAAATACTAGTTGTATACCTCATAATGTCTAAGGCAGCTACTACTGTATTTCTAAAGAAAATAGTATTTCATTCAGAGGCTGCCCCGAGTTTGAATTACATCATAGTTTCCACGTCCTTTCTAATTTGGAGTAGATTCCCCAAATAGAACCATATTATTGGAACAAAACTTTGACGTTCATGCCAAACGAGCAGATATTTTATAGATACATTTGTATAAAGCAAGTCTTCTTGCTCTGAACCCTGAAATTGAGAGGCCATGATTATTGGATGCTGAGAGGAAGCAGCACACTTCAACTCACAGCATAGATCATCTGGAGGCAAGCAGAAACAGAGCTGGGACTTGGTAGTGGTGTTCACCCACCATTTATTTTTGGAAACACATTTTGCTTAAATAAGGAAAGTATGGTCCAGTTTTGCAATGTTAATAACTGCCAGTCTCTCATTTTTTTTTTTTTTTCTTACAAAGATCACTTGCTGGCTAGCAATGAGATAGGAAACTGGCCTCAAATTCTGATCAAATACCTCAGTATTAGTTAAAAATAATACAAAACAGAAACCAGCCATTAGGGGTTAAAAATTGCACAAATTGAATGTAAATTATACTATATACAGACTAGTATACACATCATTGAAAGTTTTGAGAGCATGAAACTCCATTGAAACAAAATTTCCTTTATGTTATTACAATTTTCATTAAAGGAAAACTGATATGTAATATTCTTCTTTACAGACATGAAAAAGGAAGCAAGAAGGCAAAGCTGAGAGAAACAGATGCTACCCACAGGGCAGCGGTGGCATTTGGTTGTTTTGGTCTTTGTACCAGCAACTCCCACTCCCCTGGCAGAGATCCAGTTCCTGCTGGACTACACGGTTTTCCTTGCAGTCAAGACACGAACAATGGACCCTACTCCTCCAGCACCAAGTGCCTTTTCATGCCATTGCAATGACATAGCACTGCTATTGTCAGAGGGGCTCTCAAAGCCTTTATAAATATACTTCATTAGGAGATCCACACCATTCTTGTCCAGAGATTGAACTGCCTTTTTAATATCATTAGCTTTAAAAGAGATGAGCACCTTCAAGACAATGCTGCCTGCTGAATCCTTCACCGCCTGACTCTTCGTGTTGATGGGGGGGGGGGGTTTCAGAGCTGCCTGTAGGGCAGCTGTCATATTTCCTTGCCACAGGCAGGAGTCCACCTCGCCCTCGTCTGGCCCGGCCTGGCCGTCGCCCCGTCTTCCTCGTCCACGAACTTGTTCTCGTCATACTCGTCCACGTCCACCTTCCGGAACCGGGCCGATGACACCGTGTTCTTCGACATCCCGAGCCGGACCAGGGGCAAAGGCCTTTCTCGGTGCAGCCACTACCTCAGTGAGCCCAGCCCAGCAGGAGCCCACAGCCAGGCGCGAGTCACTTCCCTCTTCCGCTCTGGGGCATCGCTGGCAGCTGCAGCTCGGGCGGTTCTGGGCCTGCATGCCCGCCGTGTCTTCCTCCTCAGGTTCGCACTGCGCTGGAGCCGCCCCGCGGCACCCGCTCTCCCCCCGGAGCGCCTGAGGGCGGGAGCACGCAGCACACAGTGTGCAGGCGCGAACTCTCTCTGTTTTATTTTTATACCCTAAAAAATTGAAGTTACTTCCTTCTACATGACCACCCAGGCATTGCAGCAATGGCCATACATTCCTGGAACACATAGCCTAAGGGCACAGATGTCCCCTGACACAAGGTTTCCAGGCAGTTGCTCGAGGTGCCAGGCATAGATCACAGACAGAGATTAGCAAGGTTAGGCAAGTCAGCCACAGGGGGCATTTTTCGTCCCCAGTTCCTCTTAGGCCGATCCCCTGCGGCTGTGCCTGTCTTAGGTCATCCCTCCCTTGAGGGATCTTACGAGTCATTGACTAACCAGCCATCTTATGGGGCTAAGAGAGCAATCAAAGGAACAATGTGTTTATTGTGTGGCCTCCAGGCCTCCACTTATTGTGGGGCTGGGCAGCTATTGCCTCAATGCAGAAACTCAGGCCTATTGTTATGCCACTAGGCAACAACCTTGTCCGCAGCACATTACTCTTAAACGTTCTGGGCAGGGCAAGAACATCACTCACTAAATTTAATTCTTAAACCAAGAAAGTATAATGTCAGTCCCCAACACCACAGGGGAAAAAAAGAAGGAGGAGGAGGAGGAGGGAAAAAAGGAAAAGAAGAAGAAAAACAAAAGAAAACAAAAGACACAGGGAAGAGTAAAGTGATTATCAAAAGAAACTTTTAGTATTTTTTCTTATATATCTCTCATATATTGGCAGGAGGAAGTGAAAGGCATGACATGGTATTCAGCCAAAAAAATGTATTTCATTATGACAGGAGATAAAGTTACAAGAGTAAAAAAGTTAGCTACATGGCTTAAGACTCAAGACGATTATATCCCCACATAGCTTGTGCATAGAATTAGAAAGAGTAGAAAAATCTGAGGTTGTTAGGTAAAGATCTTCAAGGACTTAGAGGTGTAATCTGTAATTTTCTCTACAACCAGAAAAACTTCTGCATTGTAGAAACAACTGTAAGTTCATGGTAAAGAAACTTCTGAAAAGTTCTCCAGAGTTCCCTATTTCAGTGACTGGCCCAGCATTGATCCAGTTGTCCAAGTTAACAACTATTTCCCTGTTTTCTTGACGATCATTACTCACTTGAATTATTGCAAGTATCTCAACTAGCCTTTTGCCTTCTACAGACTTGCAGGCACAGTCATACTTTGCTAGAAAAGTCTTTCTCAATCATAAGTCTGATTGTATGTCTGCCTTCTTAAAACCTCTTAGTGGTTTTCTATTACTTACTCTCAGGTAAAAATCCTTTCTATGAGCCTCTCCATGACTTGGCCTTCACTTATCTCTTCACCCTCATCTCTTGCTGCTCTTTCTCTACCCTAGGGTCTCTACACCAGGGGATCTCAAGTGAAGTACACAAGATCATCCTCTCAGTGTGTGATGAAAATATCTGAACTTCTATCAGCTGAAAATAAGGGACAGAAACTAAAAGAATGTCATACATGAGAGACTGGAAGAAGCCAAGCCAAAGCTCAGTACAAGTGGAAGTTAAGAGGAAACAAAAACTCTGAGGAACAGAAACTTAGGGAGACATGGAGAAAGGAGGAGGCACAGAAGTGTCAGAAAGAGTAGTGGGTTCATAGAGTTTTGTTCCTGATAGGTGGTCTTCCCGTTCCAGATTCAATCTATAGACTCTACATCTTTATAATATACTGTTTTTTCCCCTTAAGGCAATCTGAATGAGTCTTCCATACTTTTTTTTTTTTTTTTTTGAGACAGAGTCTCATTCTGTTGTTCCAGGGAGAGTGCAGTGGCATCATCACAGCTCACTGCAACCTCAGATTCCTGGGCTCAGGCAATTGTCCTGCCTCAGCCTCTGGAGTAGCTAGCACTATAGGCAAGTGTACCATGCCCAGCTAATTTTTCTATTTTTTGTAGAGATGTGGTCTCCCTTTTGCTCAGGCTGGTCTTGAACTCTTGGCCTCAATCAATCCTCCTGCCTCAGCCTCCCAGAATGCTAGGATTAGTGCTAGGTGTGAGCCATAGTCCAGCCTTTCATACATTTTTAAAGTGTTTTGAGGGGTATCTTTATTCCAGGCAACCATTAGAAGCTACCTAAAATGCTTAGTGATCATCTATAGGGGTTTGGTTAAATAAAGTATAGTACATCTTTCTATGCATTAACCAAAGGATATGTAGTTATAAAATTTATTGACATGGAAAATTGCCTACAAGATATTGTTCAGGGAAAAAGCAGGTCCCCAAACAGTATGCATAGTATTTTTGGTACATATAAGATACATTTATGGTATGCATAAGAATATTTTTGTTTTATATTTGTGTGTGTGTGTGTATGTGTGGGTGTGTATATAGATAAAAAAGAGTCTGAAAAGATCTGTGCTAAAATGTTAGCAATAGTTATATCTGGATGGGTAGAATTGTGAGTGATTTTCACTTTTTGTTTTCCCTTTCTGATGATCTGATTTTTTTTTGTTTTTGCTCTGAACATGTATTACTTTTATAAGCATTAAAACTATTAAATTTGGCTGGGCTTGGTGGCTCACACCTGTAATCCTAGCACCCTGGGAGGCCAAGGCAGGAGGATCGCTTAAGGTCAGGAGTTTGAAACCAGCCTGAGCAAGAGTGAGACCCTGTCTCTACTAAAAATAGAAAGAAATTAGCTGGACAATTAAAAATATATAGAAAAAATTAGCCGGGCATGGTGGTGCGTGCTTGTAGTCCCAGCTACTCAGGAGGCTGAGGCAGTAGGATTGCTTGAGCCCAGGAGTTTGAGGTTGCTGTGAGCTAGGCTGACGCCACAGCACTCTAGCCCAGGTAACAGAGTGAGACCCTGACTCAAAAAAAAAAAAAAAAAAAAGCCTATTAAATTTAGTCCTTCAGCACAAATGAGATTAAAAACTATTAAATTATTTCCATTTCTTAAAAAAATAGGAAAAATTCAGACATTCATACAATTCAACATGAAAAATTCATTCATTGTAGGATTTCCTTATATGTGGTAAGAGACCATGGTGAGTGAGTAAACCACCATTCAGAGAATATAAATCATATTCACTTATCAAACATATGCCAGACACAATGCTAAATGATGGAAGATATATAGGACAGGTCTTTGTCTTTAAGGATCTCACAGTCTTTAATAAGGGGATAAATATGTAAATTAATAGCAGTAATACAGTTATAATAAGTGTTAATATCAGACATGTAAATTAGGTGTAGTACAGACACAAAGATGAAACTGTTCCAGAAGAGACATTCAAATAGGATCTTAAAGGACTTAAGGGAATGAAAAGGGAGTGCATTCTGGTGAAGAGTAACCAAGGCATGGAGGCATGAAATATCACAGTGGGTATAGTATGTGATCTAGTCACATATTTGAAATGAGTTACTTGTCTATGGAAATTAAAAGATTTTTTTTAAATATCAATAAGTTTTAATATGCTTTTAAAATAATCCTAACAATGCCTAGATGTCAAAAAGAAGAACATTGTTCACACCAATATAGTGTTAATAAGGATCAGTATTGCAAAACCACTATATGACGCTGCTATAAAATGTGGTCTTTTTCAATCCCTGGCTTCTGTCCTGTCATGGGATGCAATATGCTGCTTCTCTAGGATACTGACAAATCAAAACATAGCACCTGAACAGGGGCTGTGAAGTGAGTTCAATCCATCATCCTGTTTACTTGATATATATCAAGGGATTATACACTGCTGAAAACAACACAAACAACATGCCGAAACTAAAAGATCTAGTGAAAAACATACAGGTTAAAAAAAAAAGCTTTTAGCTTCTACTTATAGCCCAGACAATGGATACATGAGGATCTGCTTAAAGGGCACTATATGACATATGACTAGCTCTGTTCACAGATATCTCTCTGCGTGAAAGTCAGCACAAGAGAATTTACTGTGATGCTACACTAGCATCTGCAGCAGGTATACTGTACCAGGGAATGAAACAAAAAAAGAAAGTAAATAAAAAAAGGTTTGGAAAGTTGCAGGATGATCATTTGAAACCACATAAAGTCCTACTGCATCAAATGGGGCCATATTTATTAATAATTGGGTCACTCTATGGAACAATGTCAAGCAGAGAAAGCCACCAACATGAGCTAGAAGATTAGATGAACTGCAGTGCAGAGAACAAAAAATAGGGCAGAAACCTTGGGTTTCCTGCCAAGTCCAGAAAAAATACATTGCAGCAGACTGTGCAGAGGCATGACCGTCTTTTCATTGCTTGCCAAAAATCTGTCTTGCTTTTAAAAATTACAAAGGAAATAGAAGCAAATGTTAAGGAACAAAACCACTATGTTTTGAAAAGATAGGTGAAAAGTGGTGACTAATCAGTTAAAAAATATGTACTGAATCCCTACTATGTGGCCATTAAGTAAATTAACTGGTTAATTAATACATATTTACTTACTGTCATTAGCTACTCTTCCACCTGCTAACAGAGAAAATAAAAGTGATGAAATATGTGCTTTATGGAGTTTATAGCTAACTAGAGAGCCAAAACACACCAATGAGAAAGAGTTGGATAAAAATGTAAGGCAGTATTATATTCTATGATTATTTCCAAAATGAGGCAGTTTGTAAACAACAAATACTAAATTCAAAACAGAAAAGTCTGAGCTGAGCTGGAACTTGAAGAAAGATATCATTATCTGACAGGGAGGATTTATGATGGATCTTAAAGACAGCTTGGATTCTGATCCTGTGTCTGATTCTGTGATTGGTAGAATAGAATAATTTTGACAAGTCACATTCCTTCTCTGGATTTTCATCTTCATGTATAAAATGGAAAGTTTAGGTAGTCTCTAAATTCCCTTCCCCTTTTTATATCCACCAAATCAAGGATATAAGAAAAAAATGAATGAAATGGTTAAGAGAGTATTTAAAAAATGTTTCAAACAAATGGAAAGGGAAGAGTGGGCTGTCATTGGAGAAGGCGAATGAAGCGTAATGGTGTGGAGTCAAAACAAAATCACAGCCTACTTCTTACTGTCTGGTAATGTGGTCCTGCAGAAAAACATCTCCCAAAAGTCTACCGTGGAGGCATATACGTCACAGCAAAATTAACTGCTACGACAGAAATCTATGTGACGTTGTGGAGGCACAGTAAGATAATGGTCATTTCTACTTGGGAGCAGCAGGAGGTGGGAGGTGTCAAAAAATGTTTTCAGGGAGGGAAACTGAATACAGTGGTTGCCTGGTTGGGCATTGGCGAAGGAAGGAGAGATGGAGAGCCTCAGGAGGACCTTTCTATTTCTACTATATGTTCCACATCTCCCCC